AAAAATTTCTTTTTAACATATAGTTTCAAGGAAATCTTGTAACTTTGCTATTTAGATTTAAGTAGTTTGAGTTCTCTATGTTAAATTACATAAAGAAGACTTAATTTTTGGGATTAACTCCCTTTACCTAAAAATGAGTCTCTCAGACTGAGTTTTTCTAGAGATCCAAAGAAGAGGCACAACGTCCTGATAGAGGATATCATCTTAAGGGTTAAGGTTTCCTTGAGTATCATAAAGCATAAAACTTTAGATCAGAGAAAACTAAGAAAAGGGGAATGAAGTTGGAGAACTAGGCTCCAAGAAAATTACTTGGATCTGTATGAAATAGACGTTTAAGCTCGAATCTAAAAGAGATCTGGAGTTCGAGAAAGTTTTTTCTAAGAAAAGAATGTAAGAAAACAGAGAGAAACGAGGAAGGAAAGTGGTTTGATGAGAAAATGAAACTTCCAGCATTTAGGTCCTTTAAATACTCCTCAAGATCCTCACATTCTTGCTTGAGCAAGCAGATTCTTACTTGAGTAAGCCACCATCCTCGCCTCAACGAGAAAATTAGACAATAGAACTACTAAATTTTATGTTATTCTTACCTGAGCGAGCTGCATCTCACCTGGGCAAAAGACATTCTCGCTTGAGCGAGAATAGAGCCAAAGACCTCCCTATTTTTCTTGCAACTTTTCGCTTAGGCAAGCTCCATCTCGCCTGAACGAAACCCTTTCTTGCTTAAATGAGAGGACAGTTGAGGCAACTTTATCCTATCTCGCTTGAACAAGATTCATCTCACTTGAGCGAGAATGATCCAAAACCCCTTCCTTTAAAAAACTCTATCTTGCTTGAGCGAGAAATCCTGCACCAAAATTCTTATTTTTCCTATACAAGGACAACAAAATTAAGAGTGTTACACCATAAGTCTTAGATCATATCGATATTCACTTACACAAAAGGATATTATAGAGAAAATGGTAAAGAAACTATTGGAGGCAAGATTTATCCATGTGTATTAATAATAAAGGTCTCAACAAGAAGAAAGATAATTGTTAGCCCATGTGTATTGATAATAAAGGTCTCAACAAGAACATAGTTAGAAATAGTTTTTCTATTCCATTAGTAAAGACTTGTTTGATGAATTAAGTCATACTTGTATTTACTCAAGCTGGATTTAAAGTATGGGTATAATCAAATTTGGATGAAGACTGAAGATATATAGAAGACTATTTTTCAGACACAAATGCCCCCAACAACTTTCTAAGATTGCTATTTTTGCAAAGCAACTTAAAAAGTCAATGTTTATGTTTTTTTTTTATGATATGTTTGTTTATAAAAATGGAAAAAAAATAATGTTTATGCATTTAATGATGATACTTTGACACTACAAATGTACCTTTATGTTGAGAAAGGTGGAGTAATTAGGGCATTTCATATTTGCTAAAGGTGTTACCACTGACCCTGCAAAGTAGAAGCTCTCAAGGCTTGTCCTGGACCAATAAGAATGTGAAACAACTATGCAACTTTTGAGCTTGCTATTACTATAGATGATTTATTAGAGAATACTATCCTTTTGATTGATATGCTAAAGAAAAAGGCATTTGTGTGGACCCTTTTAGCTAAGGAAGCATTTATCTACCTGAAATAGGCTCTCACAAATGCTTGTGTTCTTGCTCTTCCCAAGCTATAAAAACCATTTGAGGTGAAAATAGATGTGTCAGACACTAAGTATAGGAGTGGTGCTCATGCAAGAAAGACACCCTGTTACATTTATTAGCAAGGTCTTGTCTATAAGGAATAGGCTCTTATCTATTTATGATAAGGAACTCTTGACTCTGGAACATGTAGTAAGGAAGTAGCACTAATACCTTTTTGTTCAATCGTTCACCATCCTTAAAGACCACTAAAGTTTGAAGCATCTTCTTGAATAGACTCTTCACACCAGCACAATATGCATGAGTTACATAACTCATGGGACTAAAGTTTGACATCAAATATAAGAGGAGACGAGAGAATGCAATAGCTGATACTCTATCCAAAGCTTCTCATGAGAAACTATTGCAGATTTCAATCTCTACAATGTCATTTAAGTTATGACGGGAAATATTTGCTTACACAATAGATGCAATTATGCAACAACTTATAGAGCAAATTCTTGATGACCTAGGTGCGCATCAAAAGTATCAAGATGGTTACATTCATCGCATTTAAAGGGAAGATTCAAGGATTTGAGCAACTAAAAAGTGAATCAAACAAGTGTTTTACTAAAATCGAATGTTAAATGGTATTCAGAAATTCATCCAATCATGTGAAACCTATCTTAGATACAAATATGAAACAGTGGTAACACTTAATACTCTACAGCCCTTACCAATACATGATGAAGTGTGGCTATGAATTTTATTCATGGCCTTCAAACGGCAAAGACCCTATACGATTGATTGACTAAGCAAATATGCTCATTTTATTCTTAGTCTACCCTTTTACTATCTCTCAACTTGTCCAAATCTTTGAGTCAAGCATTCAAACTATATGGGACACCAACCAATATTGTTAGTGATAAAGACTCAACATTTATTAGTAAATTTTAGTTTGCTTTTTTCCAACCGTTAGGAGTATCTCAAAGCTTTTTTCTCTTTGTACCACCCTTAATCCAATGGTCAAAGTGAGGTTCTTAATAGATGCTTAGAATATTTCTTTTGCTACATGTTTAGGATTCCCCACAAAATTAGGTGAAATGGTTACCATTTACAAAATGGTGATATAACACCAATTATCACATTGTTCCAGGCCATACTCCTCATGAAATCTTACATGGTCAACCACCTTCTATTCATCTTCCCTACTTTCTCCGAGTGTTTTGTAATCTTCCCTACATTCTCCGAGTGTTTTGTGAATGTTGTTGATCATACATTTACAGCTACAAAGCTTATGCTTCAAAAACTTAAAAGTAATTTACAAAAAGTCACTCACAAAATGAAACAGAAAGCTAATAAACATATCAAAACATGTATTCCAAATTGGTTACTAGGTGCTATTGAAACTCTACCCTTATCGACGACAATTTGTTCATTTAAGAAAAACAGAAAATTTTGCACCTCACTATTAGGGGTATTCATAGATTGGATTTTCAAAAATCCAATCTAAATCCGTTTATAATCCAATTATATAGATTGGATTATAAACCAATCTATTTTAATTTTTTTAAAATTGGTTTAAATTTAGTTTTAAAATTTAGATTTGGTTTAAAACCGATTTTAAACCATTTTTACCATATAGTAAAAATATATTATAATTTTTTATATTATTATTAAATTATTATATTAAAACATATTTAAATTTTATAATAAATAAAATAACATTATATTTATATATATATATATATATATATATATATATATATATTACTTTAACTCATTACATCTCTAAAAAAATTAATAATACATATAAAAAAATATTTGCATATATTTTAATTTATTAATAATTTTTTTAATATTTTGTTAAAGTAATAAATATTTAAATATATTCTAGTTTTTATCATCTATTCATCATATAAATTAATTATATGAGTTAAACTTTAAATTATTTTATTTTATTTTATTTTTTAATCAGTTCAAAAATAGTTTTAAAATTTAAATTTACTTTAAAATTAATTTTAAATTTAATTTTTATTTAAACTAGTTTTAAATTTAATTTTTATACATTTATAAATTTTATTTTTAAGGTAAAACTAATTTATTATATAAAACGTTGTATAAAATCAGGGCATTTCAAAAAGATTTGAACAATATTTATTAATATATTATGTTTTATAGAAGTGTATAAAATATTTATTATTATTTTTAACTTATTTTTAATGAATAAAATTTATAGTGAAAGTTAAAATTAAAACTTATAAAAATAAAAATTAATAATATAAATAATAATAAAATTATTGTAATATTTTAAAAGTTAAAAAGTAAACATAAATATAAAAAAAACAGTAGTCATTAATTTAAAAATATTTTTTATATTTTAATATCTTTAATTATTTTGAATATTTTAATTTTAATTATAAGAATTAATAAAAAAATATTAGTGGTAAAATATAATTATAATAAAATTTTATAATATATATATATATATATTTATATATATATATATATATATATGAATTTAGATAATTAAAAAAAATTCAATTTTAAAAAATAGATTTGAACATTAAACCAGTTACACAAATACAGTTAATAAAAAAACCGGTTTAATATAAATCTAGATTTTTAAAACTAGTTTAATATTAGTTATGGATTAAATTTGTAAAATCGAATTTTTCTACTCACTATTTTGGGCCGACCTGGTGCTTACATGCTGAAATTACTAGAGCAGAGTAAAATTCACTCTCCATTGTATGTTTCATTACTCAAACCTGAAAATCCAAAATTCCCAGAAGGCAAGTCCTAACTGAATAGAGTCATGTAAAACACTGCAAAGGTACCTTCTTGGACAAGAGGATGGTTCAAAGACAACAAACAACTATCACTCAAGTACTAGTTCAATGAGAGGGATAATTAGAAGAGGAACAACTTGGAAGACTTGATTCCATATCTAACAACGATGCCTTTGGTACTGATTTGTAAGAAATAAATATGGCCCTATTTGGATGAACTGAACTTATGGATATGTATTTGAAAGAGAAGAAAAACAATATAAAAAATAAAGAAAAAATTTCCCATAAACTAAAAATTACTCATCTCTTCAAGTTTTTATATCTTTCTGTCTATTTCCAATAAAAAATTACTGAGACTCACAGCGTGCAGGAGGAAAACTGGCGAGTCAAGTAACAGAAGATTAGGTCAACCAATTTAACAAAGCAAGAGAAAAGGAACGGTTGAAAACGGCTTCAACGCTTATCCATTAAGCATCATTATCTCCCGCTCTTAACATGCAGAAAAATCACTAAAAAATAGGAACTAATCACTAAATATCACATATAACAGAAATAGCAAACAGGAAGAAAACTGCTAGTACCAGGTTTGATGACGAACCAAATCTACCAATGAAAGGGTTGAAAAAAAATATGGCTATTGGCTTATCTTTCTTGTACATGTTAGTAAGCAGAACACGAACCCGATTCCTAAATAAATAGCAACGGAAATATTCTCCAATTAATTACAACACATGAGCATAATATAAAAGTGAGCCTTACCATAGTTCCAGTGTCACCCTTATCTACACTATCATCCTTGCATGATGTCATGTTTTAGAAAAAAAGAGCTGGAATAACAACTGTGACCTTGTAATAGAACTAGCATAAAGAGAAGATACTTATTTGCAAACCAATAAGTTCCTAAGATAAATAACGTTAAATTTCCTACATGTGGGGAGATGAAAAAAATTGTCAAAGGTAAAATGGTTACACATGGTTTCATTTCAGATGGAAATAGCGAAACCTAAATCCTTCGCAGCAGTATTGAGATACTCAATAGGCAATCCATTTGAAAGCCGGCTGTGAGCTTCCCATGTTAAGCATTTTTCTACGTCAGCTTTCCAGTCAATAAGATCCAAATTGAAGTACTGATTATGGATGCCATTCTTTTGTGGCAGTTTAGGACCAGAACTAATGGAACTAGTAAGCAAAATGTCACGAAGAACAGAAATGCTCAGAGCTCGGACATGTGCACTGGGATGAGAAAGGCATCTGATTGTAGCCGGTAGGCGACACTGCATGTGTATTATGCACAAAGATATTGGTCAGCAGTTCTATTTAATTACAAAACAAGCACACAAGTTATTTGTTTCGAACTTAATTTCTTTTCTCAAATCAAATAGAGCATTTTTGCATAAAGTCATTGCCGATTAAAAATTTAGAATAATATTAAAATAATTTCAGCATAGGTTTTGTTGTCCATTTTTGTCATGGAATAATTACACAGGCCTCTCTTTAAGTTAGCTACATAGTGGTAATTCCACTTAGACTTTGTTTATTTAAGAAACTACAACTACTTCCTTGTAAGTCCCTTGATTTGTTAACTATTATTAGTATGGTTTACATATGTATGAAAAAAGGGAGGTATGTGTAATACTTATAAGAATAAGGGGTGTCTATGCTTTATGAAAAAAGGGAGGTATGTGTAATACTTATAAAATAAGAGATGTATGTTTAATTTTCAAATAAAGCAGGGTCTAGGTGCCATTACCTACCACTAATCTCGGGACATTAGAGTAATCATCCCTTTCATTATTGTTTCAATGTATCTTTAGTATTTTATTGATTGTGCCTACAAAATATGTGTTCATGTAAAAATTAACCTCTAAAAAAATGCAGGTATAATTTAGGATCAGATTTTCAAAGTTCAACTGAAAAATATTCATTCAGTTTAGGCCAGCTCAAATTAGAAGTTCAAATGAGGGAAGTTTGCTTACCTTTAACAGGTTCGAAAGGCCATCTGCAACTGCAAGTCCAGATTCTCCCAACTCAATCACTGGCTGAACTGCTTTAGCCATTGCTTCCAATAGCTGGCCAGTTGTACCAAAACATAAAATATGAATATCATTAAAGCTTAAGCATAAATCTGAAAATATATTAAATACTAAATCCTACTTTACAGTACCAAAAATCATTGTTCAATGAGTTATAACTAAGACTTGGTTTATGCCAGTGGCAATTTCTTTAGGTCAATAGTTTGAAAGTTTCGAATCAAAAGGCTACAAAAGGAAGTATTTGTGCTATAGTTGAGCAAAAATTCCACACTTGGTTCCATGAATTTATTTCCTTATATGCTTCCCACAAATGGTCTTGAATGTAGCATAAAATTTCATTTTTGGTATTTTAACTCTGGTATTTTAACTATGGGTAAAAAAACATTGCCTGCTTCAAAGTGTATATGCAGGAGTGTGTGTGTCTATATGTGTGCCAAAGAATGATAAGAAGGATTTATCTCAAAATAATTGGTATTCCTATATGTTCATCAAAGAGAATTAAATTTACAAATTTCAAGTTAAATAGTTCAAGGAGTCAAATTAAAATTGAATGACAAGTAGTCAGTAAATTTTAAAATAGAAACATTACTATCTGTTTCTTGTTTTGAAAAACAGTCTTTATTACCACGTGGTCATGAATTGAAGACAGTTTTCTGGTTGAAAGACATTGAAAGTACATGGAAAAGTTGATGTTTTAACATGTTACCTTTAGCTGTGGTAAAGTGCAAGCTTCTCCATCCACCAGCATTCCATCTGTGGCTCGTAGTAGTAGATCTGATGCACTTGCCACGATTACTAATGATTCTAAATTATCATGATTCCTCATTAGTTCAACTATCAATTTCACGATCCGCTGATTGATTTTCCAAATCTTCTGACCTAGATCATCATCTTCGGCAATCCATGGATGCAATTCTTTCTCAGCCTGACAAGTAATAAGCACAGGGAAGTAAAATGAAATGTTTTAATTTGAAGAAAATATCAGGAAAAAGAAGCTAGCTGATTTGGACATAATTAGATGAGATCTAAGTTAGATATTTAAACTTTCTAAACATTAAGAGTCATGTCTCAGGTACAGAAATGAGAATTCAAAGTTTCTGTAATGTGTCCCAAAAAATAGCGTTCAATTATCTGAAAGAGAATTTTCCAAAAAATGGTTGATAGACTGTATTTAGATAAAAATCTTATTTCCTTTTTGTCAGAAACCTTGGCACAGATCTAAGTTACAATCCAATGAAAAGGAAAAAGATTGAATGAAAAAAAAAAAGTGAAAAAAAAAGAACTTCTGGTTTTTAACAATTTGGGGAAGGGAAGTCAAATAAACAAAATAGATGTCCGAGTCAACAGCCAAAGTCATTATTCATGCAACATTTCATAAAAAGACAAAAATAAACCTGAAAAACAACTGCTGTAGCTGCTTTCATTGGGGATGCAGATACAACCTTGCATAATGCATCAACAACCTGCATTGGATTAAATCACAAAATGGTTAATAATGATCATTTTTCAGTGGAAAATAGGAATATAATTGAGGTATTTGAATTCACACAAATATATGGCATACACATACAAATTTATAACTTCTGACAGAAATGTAGTTGAGAAAATTGAGTTTTGTGCTGCACACTAATGTGTTATTTGTAGCATATAATCATTAGTCAATCAAGGAGAAGATCACTAGTTCATTTTTGCAGACAGACGTCAACTATGTATTTACACATGCTAAAACCAACAAGAATTATAATTAGGTTGAGCAAGTGTTACAAATAATAGCATGTGTCAGGTTACTAAATTGCGTGAGTGCTTGAGACAGTTTGTGATCAGCGCCTATGATTCTCTCTGTTTTTTCTTTATCTCTTAACAGAATCAAAGGGAAAACAGGAAAAATGAAATATGAAAAATTTTAATGGCAACTCAATCAGTGGAAATAGTAGACACTCTTCACATTAGATGTTACTTTCAGAATTTTTATATGCTCAAAAGCTATAGAGGATATTGTTGTAAATCTCTGATTGATGCTGCTTATAATTCAGCAATTGATTCTCTCTCATAATTATTGGATATTTTCATAGTTAAGCTAAATAATATTTAGTAGATAATTATGCCGATACTGTACAGATTTATCCTTTCCCAGTTACTGGTTTTAGGATTATAAATAGATGTACAAATTCTGTAAATGAATTATCTGGCAATGATACATTCTTTTCTCATTTGGTACAAAATGGTTTGTAACTTTCATAGATGATTGTACTTGGGTCACTTGGATTATACTTAATGAAGGATAAATCTGAAGTCACTAAGTTAGTTTCCAACTTCCATTGCATAATTTGGAAAAACAATTAAACGTCTCATCACTGATAATGGGCATGAGTATGTGAACCAAAGTCTAACCCAATTTTTCTAGGAAAAGGGCATTGTTTATGAATTGACTTGTGTTGATACCTATTAAGAAACTTGGGCCTAACTCACACCCAAAAGTTAGTTCATAAGAAGAGGGCTGCCCTAGCCCTTATAAGGAGTATTTTGGCTCTATTCCTAACTAATGTGGGACATCTTAATTATAATTTAGCAATTGATTCTCTCATAATTATTGGATATTTCCATAATTAGGCCAAAGAATATTTTGTAGATAATTACGCCAATACTGTGCAGATGTATTTTTTCCCAGTTACGGGTTTTAGGATGATTTTTCCCTATAAATAGATGTACAAATTCTGTAAACAAATTATCACGCAATAATACATTTTTTTCTCATCTGCTCTGTTGTCAACTGATATATCTTGATAATTGATAACAGAAGATTGTTCTAGGATGTTGCTTTTTACTATTGAATGTTCATTATTTGGCTTGAGCACAATGGTTTACCTTGAATGACAAGTATAGATATTTAGTTGTTTAAAAATTAAATATATTACACTTCTTGTTTAAAGGATGTTACATGCGCAGTTATCTCTCCCAAGGGATTAATTTCAATTATTTAGATTTTGGAGTCTGATTTTCTTCATGTGTTGCTGTTTAATCTATTTTGTCTTACATTTGTCTACCTATTCTGGAGGCAATATTACTATACTACTATGAATTCAAATTATCATTAGTCTCTATCACCAGAAGCTTTAAGAATCTAATGTCTATGGTAAACAAGAATTAAGCTATTCCATTTGTGTTACAGATTAAAAGCATGCTTAAGTCTAGCGTTGGGAAGAAAAGAGGATAAGTAATGATTCACCACTGAAAAAAACACAAAGAAAAGAGGATAACAGTTGTAGAAGTATAATATATGCAATAGTACCTGTCTCCATCCCTGTTGAGCAGAAGTGCTTTCTGCAAAAAGTTGAGTCTCAGGAGATGCAATCAACTTGTGCCATAGTAGTGACACTACAGAGAAACATAACTCTTGCTTCTCTGCCAGCATGGATCTCAGAAAAATTTGGGCACTGCAATTAAATCCTATATGCCTATCCATTGTTAGGAAGTTGGCTAGATCAGAAGCATCCAATGGGAGAGTTGTGGCATCTTTTCCAAAGGTACATCCTGATGCTTCATTTGAATATGAAGTTCTCTTAGATTTTTGACTCTGTAATGAGGGAGCTGAATCCTCAGAAGGTGAGACAGATGTCTGCCCAGGGAAGCTATTACTTTCATATAGATTCTGTCTTTTAACACTATGACAGGGGTCTTTACAAATACGAGTATTAATCAAGGTTGCTCTCAATGGCTCTGCCTTGTTAACTATGGATGCAACAGCTTTGCTGTGAATATCTATGAGGTTGTACAATGAGGATGCCCTAGAGTGAATTTCATCATCCCATTTGCAACGCATCAAAACAGACAGAGCACGCATGCAAGCTTTTGACCTCCTAAATAGCTCAGAAATATGTGCAGCCACCATAGCTGCTGCAACAATTTCATTTGAGCTGTAACTCCATGAGGTACCAACAGAAGATGGCTTCAATGAAAATAATGCCTCTAAAATTGCTAAAATTCTGTGAGTATGACGTATTGCTGAATCTATGCCATTCTGCAACTCATGGGAGGATCCATCTACTTTGACAGGCTTGGCTTTATCTTGTACAGTATTGGGGATTGAGTGATTGTCCCCCTGTGAGACCAGAGGGAACAGCTGAAGCTCACAGGCAAGAGCACAAACAGCAGCCAGAACATAAGAATCAAATGCTGCTACAGGACCTTGTTTCTTCGTTTTCCTATATTTTGTGTGTCTCTGGCTTTCAGAAACTGCTTGCAAATCCTCAATAATTTCTTCCACTGAATAATTATCTTCACCTCTTGGTTTCTTGCTTCCATTGAATTGGACTTCATGACTAACACAAACAGTTAAGATAACAAATAGCAGACGCGAAGCAAGCTCAAGAGATGCATGTGATTCTAAGAAAAGCGAATGCACCATGGTACGAAGTTCTGCCACCGCAAGGTTTTTGGAGGCAGACCCCATGCCATAGTATCTTGTTTTCCGTTTTTGGTCATTAATGGACTCAGCTGGAAATGTCCTCTGAAGTATAGCTTCCACTGTGGCAACAAATATTTTCATGAGACATGCTTCAGATGGACTTCCACGAGGAAGATATTCTAGAACCTTGAGTAGGGGTATGTACAAATTCCATGAGAGTATGGGAGGTTGAAGTGGTGTAGCAACTACAATTTCTGGAAGATCAACAGCCAAGGAATTTAAGGGAATCAGGCCATAGGCAGCTTCCCAAATGGTACAAATTCTCCATTCAACCTCTGGTCCATGGGCACAAAGCATTGATGCAATACCTTGGGCTGTAGCATCAATAGTGGCTTCAGCTGCAGCAGCTTCAATCTGATCAACAAATTTATATCATGGATCTTCAGCATGAATAAAGAATCAACTCCACAATACCATACAAAATGAGAAAAAAAGAAAGGTAACTTAAGTGGTAGAGTACCTGTTTTCTGTTGGAAGAAATATAGCCACCCAAAGGTTCATGTTGAACTTCTACACCATCAACTTGTCTTAGCGGAGGAAAAAGTAATGCAGGCTGAGAAAGTACACGAAAAAGCAGAGCAGCTGCAGCATCTGCTGCTACACCAGCTTTCATAGACATTGCAGTCCCTATGGCACGCAAGAAGTGAAAATGCATCCAGTTTCTAGGAAGCTGTATTAACAGAGAAAGGGGAAAAAACTGAATCAGTCAATTGGTTTTTAAGCTTTTGAGAGATTTTTGTGGTTGAAAACACCAAAATGCACAACAGTATATGCATACACACACATACATTGTATACTGCATCTATTCAGAAGCTATGAATAAGCATGAAAAACTAAAACATATTATGTACAAACTGTTGGTTTTGCCTCATCAAGGGTGTTAAGATGTATTACTATTCTGTTACTTCTAGCAGATTTGGTGAGTTAGTCAGTTAGGTTGTTAGCTTAGGGTTAACACTGCTAACCATTAATCCTCTTGTACATAAACATTGTACAACTCATTAGTCAATGAAAACACATTATTCAGATTCAAGTTGGTATTATAGCATTATGATCCAATTAGTCGCTGTTTTTAGTTTTTGGTTAGTTTCATGGCCTCTTATGGGATTGTTCATCAAAAATCTGGTCCTCATACTCCTCAACAAAATGAGGTTGTTGAACATAAAACAGACATCCTCAGGTCTTTGGTTCCACCTATTTTGTTTACAATGTAAGTCCTATGTTATACAAACTCTACTTACTCCCACAAATGTGTCTTTCTCAATTATATTCAATCTCAAAAAGGGCACGGGCACAAGTGTTACCCTCCTGAACTTCATCTTTATTTTATATCCTATGATGTTTCCTTTTTTGAATGTGACATGTTTTATAATTTCATGTCTTCTTCTGAGTCCTCAAATGATTCCTTCCAAATCTCTGTTTATTTTTCTACTCTTGAGAAGTCTACAGTATCATCTGCTTCACTTTCAACTCGCTCATAGCAAGTTTATCAATGTAGACAGTTTTCCTTGGCTCCACCATCAACAAATGACCTCCTTACTACTGACCCACCTGCAGGGCCACATCATCTACCCCCACCAAACCTCACTTAATGAGTCAAACCTTCCCATTGCAATTTGTAAAAGTATATGTTCTCATAATCCTTCTTCTCACTATGTTAATATGATTAGGTTATGACTGTTAGCTAGGGAATACCTTTAGTATACACCGTAAATAGAAAGTAGAACTTTTGTACTGTACTCTTGTACTACACAATCTCACTATAATCCAGCCTCTCATTTTTCTACAAATAATACAGCGATGCAAGGTGGTAGACAAATATGTAATCATCAATTTTTATATAATTTATATTTGAACAATTATATTAATATGTGAAACTAAAGATAAGACCAAATTGCAACCTGAATTGCTAAATTGTTGGACTTGATTGAAGGATTTCATTTGGCAACTAAATTAAAAATACAAGTGATAAATATCTGGCAGAAGAACAGAGATTCAACCATCAAAATGAACAAATGAATTGACCTTTGAATTCATATTTGAGATTTTTCTTTTCTCACACAATGATGAATTTCTAACTTTATTTAGAACTCATTCAGAAGTGCTTTATTAAACCTTTATTAAACCTGTAATGATGAAATCTTGGTTTATACATCAATGCTATCATCACAAAACTGTACAAAAATTAGGTTCCATTTAACTAGTGCCTTAGGGGAGCACCAAATGCTTCTAATTACTAAAGAAAGCAAGTATTTAATGGTTTTTGTGTCTTTGATATAATAAATATTTTTATTCAACTTAGCATTTGCATAAAGATTATACAGCTTACCCTTATTCCACAAGCATAGTCTTCCGCAGCTCGAAGAAGCTCTACAAGCTGCACAGCAGCATCAAGTGCATCTGGAGCCCATGATGGAGGAGCTTCTAAAAGTCCAAGAAGAAGTCTTTGAGTTGCACTAGGTGTTGCAATGGCATAATATCTACATAATTCATGCATATGAATTTTTTCAGGCTAATGCACACCAAGAACAACAAAATAACTAGAAAGGTATTGAGTTCATAATAACCTATGAAATAAACGTGCATATGGTTCTAGAGCTGGTAATCCAGCAACAAGATGCTCGTCTAAAGCTGTTGCTGGAGGAGGAAGTAGTAGTGCAGGGACAGCAGCGGCTGTCAAAGTAGCAGTCTCATAACGAGCAACTTCATCATCACAAACACTCAATATAACACCAGCACCATTAGCAACAGCCCATCTCGGAGTTGAAGGCATGAGTTGAGGATGTTTCCCAGAACCACGTGAAGAAACTAAGATGAAAAATAAATTCAATTAAGAAAAAATCTTCTTTAATATAAATCCTGCTTTTATAGAATCAAAATATTGATGGCTTTTGATATTGCTGTTCAATGGAAAATTGGAAATGAAGGAATCAAATTCCTACAGTGTACTAAGTAGGTTCAAATAAGGTTTCACTAGATTTATCTTAAAAATTACAAAAGTGGGAAGAAAAAAAAATTTATTTTAAGTGTCATGACTCAATTACACACAAAAATAAGCAGTAAAAAGAAATGAAAACTCCAAAATATTCAAAAAATCATATTAACAGAAGTACAAAGTCAGAAAACTTGACTTCAATTATATAAGGATAACATACCAGTTGTAGGTGGCTTGAGTTCTCCTGCAGCATATTTACCCATTACACCACTGCACCTGTCAATGCATGGGAATTTCCACTGATTTCAGCAAAAATTTAATTGGAGCCAAGAGGAAACAAAATAAATAAACACTTGATTCAATCATATTGATGTAATCAAACATTTTGTACTCAGATTACAAGAGAATCAAACCAAAAGAATTAGATAAATCATAGTTTGTAGGTTGCTCTAATATATCCAACTGACAAAAAAAAAGAATGATATTGCAGACCCCAGAATTTCTGAGACATTGACAAAGTACTATAACCAAACTCAGAATTGGAGACATTGACACCAATAAACCATGGTTCAAAACTGAAAAACCGTGAATTGTTGTATATTTTGGTCTCAAAAAAAAATTTATGAGCCAAGAAATACAATTGCCTGTGAGTTTGAACCTTGAACTGAAACAGCCTAGACTATGAAAACGCCTAGAACCTGCAGGCAGAGCTAAAATATACATGTCACATGATTAAAAATCATCTACTTAAACTAATAGAAGAAGCAAAGCATATGTGACTTTGTAGATGTAGCCAAAAATACTCACCACCGGAAATAGTCACTTCTAATGCCCAAAGGTGCAGCCAGTAATATATCAGTAATCCAAGGGGACAAGAGCCTTATTGGTTTCTTCTCTTGCTGCATCATAGAATTATGGCCAGACTCCCCATCTACATAATCACTAGTCATTGCATGGCTGCTACTACTGCTTCCTTCTGTTTCATGATATTGTCTTTCTATTTTGTATATGGGCCGGTTATAATGAGTTAAAATACGCAAAATTTCTCCACATGCCAGAGCCCATTGTTCTGAGTATTCATTCTGCAAAATTAGACAGAGTAATGAAAAGCTTGACGGAACATTTTCTGCAGATGCTTAAGCTGATTAAATGATATGCTTAAAATAAATTAGAAACCAAAAGTCAAAACAATTTTATAAAGTAAATAATTTCTGTCTGCATTTCACATACTATAAACTTATTTTTGTATGAATTTGAATTATATACAAGGAAAAACAAAATATTAGCCAAGGGATTATACCTCACTTTTTGGGCAGACTAAAGAAATGAAAGAAGCAAATGGAGGACTAGTCTTATCATAGACCAGCGTACCATCAATAATACATGAAATAATTGGATGTACAACTGCATGCCCATGCTCTGAATGATGAAGAACCAGTACCGCTGGATGTACATGTGAATGCATAAAGAAGTCATTAAGAAATAAATTATTATTGAGTAAATCATAATTTAAACAGATATAGTATAATATAAATACCCAAGACATCATCAAAGAGGAGCATTTCTTTCGATGGATAACGGTTCCGAATCAACTGTCAAAGATATACAGACCAGTGAGTGATGTTTGATACAAACTCTTGGATTTCATAAGTCAAAACAGAATTTTTTAGTTGAATCTAAGGAAATAATTTGTAGGTATTTCTAAACCAATTTTCAATGTTTATCTTTAAATATAGTTGCATTTTTCATACCTCAGCAATATCATTAGGAAATTGTTCTGATGTAAATTGACCGATGTACTCAACATATGCCGCAATTTGATCCTAAGAAAAATCAGAAATATATGTCATAACAATCAAGTAAATGGAAAAAAAATGTGCAACATAAAACTTCATCCATGTAGGTTTGGAAACATATATCCAGTTACAAATGACTAAATCTCTGCTGCTATCTGACTAGTATGATATATAAAGAATGAAAGGAAAAAGAATGTAACACATTATTATTCATTATCTTAAGGGACAGAGCATTCAAAACAACCTTTTAGGAGTAGTGGTACTAAAGTTAGGGTAACAAAGGCAAATAAAAACCCTTAAATGAGAGAAATCTGATGGCATTGTGTAGTCTGTACATTCCAGTAAATCAAGGTTCTATAGATTAGTGCACTCATCTGTCACATATTAAGTCTCAAAAGTATAACAACTGCTTAATAACTAAATTAGCATCCCAAAACTTTTATCAAATGACATCCTTTAACACATGAAAAGATTCAATATTCCCCTACCAATGGTTTTTTATGGTTAGTTGAAGGCTGTCATGTCTAATTGGGTAAACCTTCGGTGCACAGAGCACTATTCTCTTTAGAAAGATTTCAATCAACAGATAATAAAATATTAAAAGTCTAAATCTGTATATTTAAAGCCTCAATAGAAAATCAAAACGTTATCAGCTACTTCTCAAAGATTATTCATGGAGAGTTTTCTTTCCAAGTAAACAAAAGGGCTTCAAATTTCTTCCTTTCTTCTACATTAACTGCTCATTTCTATAAGTTTAATATGAAACGTTATAACACTATATAGTATTAGTAGAAATATAATTAAGGTTTAAGTAAGTTTTTGGTCTTCATATTTTCTCAAGATTTTTATTTTAATTCCTGAAAAAGAAAATTGGTTTTAGTCCCTTATATTTCTAAATTTAATGTTTAGTCCTCATTGATGATGTAGCGAACTAAGAGGTTATCATGTGCCATTTTTTGTGCCACATGTCAACTATTTTAGGTCATATTATCACTAGGGAGTAGGGATAAAAGCATTGAATTTTGAAAAATTAGGGACTTAAATCAAAATTTACAAAAATATAGGAACGAAAAACATATTTTAGCCTACAATTATTAATATTATTACTGCTATTATTTGAATATACATAAGTAGAACAGATATTACTATAATTACAAGATGAAAAGTCATTCAATGCACACTAGTTACAATATATTATTATCTTTGTAAATAATAACAAGGAACCTTTCTTTGTTGATCATCTGATGGGGGAGGCCAGAACAACGAGGAAAACTGAAGGCGGTCAATCCACCTTTCACTGGAAGCAGCCATTGAAGCAGAAATCTACTTTTAAGTTTTTCCTTTCTGCTTCTGATATCAAAACCAACAACCCAAAATCCAGCCAAAACCGGCTACCAATCAAGAATTAAAATATCGTAATTCAACATTCCCTGTTTAGCATGCCCACATATTTTCACCTTAGTATCCATCGACAAGGATTGGTGCACTAAAATAAAATTTTACCAAATAGGAATAATAAAAGAAATTAATCAAAGACATTACAAACTAATGCATCTATCAGAAAATTATAGCTTTTAGCTATAGTAAGTTACTTTATGAGGCTTAAACCTCTGCACTTGAAAATGTTGAAACGTGAAGTTGATTTCTAAAAATATTTCGTAAATTTTTTATCTAATAGACAACAAATAAGCCAAACACATTTTTGTATTTTCATTTTCTAAAAATAAAAAACAAGATGTCAAAACAAGCATGTTTTCCAAATCTTAAAAATATGAAAATGAAAATTATTTTCAGAGAAAAAAAAAAGAAATGAAAATAGAAAATAGAAAATATGTTATTAAACCAAACAGGTCGTAAGTTTCTTTCCACCATAAAACCCAGAAGAACTGAGAAAAGTCTAAATTAATTGCTTAAATAAAGAAAATCAGAACGATATAAACCCCAAACAGAGCTATAACAATTCTGGAAAACCAAAAGAAAAAAATGAGAGTGAAATTTTCTCCTAGAATCATTCAATTTTCTTCACGATCAAACAAGCTCACTTAATTTTCGAAAAAAAAGCACAAAAAGTAAAATAGGAACTAGCACCAAAATATCTAAAAACAACTCAGATTCACCAGAGATTACAAAATTCAGAAAAAAATAAAATAAAATTAAACACACTTCATTAATCAACACAAACACCAACAACAAAACATGAAAACAAGATAGAATAAGAAAAACAAATGTATCAAAAAATTGCATAACAATAATTAGAAAATAAACTGCGTACCTGACTATTTGTATATAGAACAGAACTGATTTCAAAACAGGAAACTCTGATTTAGATGGCGAAACGATGCAGCTGCCAAAATGAGATTTTCCCTCTTTGATGTAAATAATAATAAAAACAATAATAATTCATGAAAGAAAAATATATAAAAGCGGTGATGGTTGCTTATGGTGACAGACACTGAGAAAAGAAGAGAAAGAAAGGGAAGGGAAGAGAAGGGAAGGGAACGGAAGATCTTTTGGAGTTTTGAGAAGCTTAGATTGTGAGCATACGTGGCAATGATATTTTCCTCTCACCGCTTAGCCCAGTGTTTGCCACGTCATGTTTGTAGACACTGTCATCCACATACATGCATACATGTATATGGATGTATTTAATGCTAATATAAATACGCATCGGTCACATCATCCCATAGGTGGGCGTCATAATTGTCCTTTAAACACGGTTCAGTTAAAAATATGTAAGAATTTTGATTCCGGAAGGAATGTATAAATATGGTAATAACAATAACAGAAATGTTTATTTTTCAACATTTTAAATAATTTTATTTTGATATATTATTATAAATATTTTATGTTATCATATAAAATATAATTTAAATATTTTTTTGAATTAATTATTACAAAATTTTAATATTTTATTAATATAATAATTTATGGTTAGATGATTATACTATTAATATGTTTTAATTTTTTTCAAATAATATATTTTTAAAAAAAATTGTATTTGAAAAATGTGTGAATAATATCATTACATATTAAGTTCGAGGGATAAGAATAATATAATTGTAATAATAACTTAAAAATTAGTGGAAGTTTTTTGTTTGTAAGGAAAGATACAAGAGAAGGAACAGTTGGACGTAAAATATTAAAGATTGATTTATTTTTATTAAAAAGATTTATATTTCATCTTCAACCGTATTTGGAATTTTTGTAGAAATTAAAATATATAGCAATGACTTTCAAAATTTCCCTTTTACAACTTTTACTTTTGTATTTAACTTCTGTATATGTTTTAAATTTATTTGTCGTATAAAATCGTTTTATTCAATTTTCATGGTTTGCAATATTTCAGTTACATTTTTACTAAAATTAATTACTTTTAATTTAGTTTATATACTTTCCTATTACTTCATTTATTTTTTAATTTAACAAGAGTATAATTAACGAAACTGACAACAAAATGTTAAAAATAATCATACATGTATAAATTAAATTAAAAATAATCTCACGGATAAGGAAACAAATTATTTTAACATGAAATTACGGAAATAACCGAAACATGTTGAGTTCGTAATATTTTATATATTGGTTGTTCCAATTGGAATAAAATATTACTTTATGGAGCATTGGTGGCTGAGTGTGCACGCTTTGACTTTTTCCAGAGTAACACGAGTTGTTCTCATATAATTATAACTGTTTGTGTTACTCAAAATTAATTTCTCTTAATGCTGTATATATTTTTAATGTGAATTTTGGGGTTGAAATTAATTTAAGTTTATATTTCAATTATGTTTAATGATTTAAAATTAATTTTATCTAATATATTTTTAATACAAATAGACATGTAATTCCATGAAATTATTATAAAACAATTTTCACTCACAAATTTAAATATAGTGTATTAAGATAACGAAATAAAATTTTATAACATGTTAAAAATTTCTAAAATTTTTATTAATAATAATTTTAATAAAATAATTATTAAATTTATAAAATCAACTTTAATCTTTAGAGCCGAAGTTAAATAACTAAGAGTAATAAATTTATTAAAAATTAAATATTCATCACTTTAAAATATAAAAAGTAATAAATATTATATTTTTAAATAAAAAATAATATATTTAAACATTTAAACTCAACTTTAAAAATCAAAATTTTAATTTATAGCGACACGTGTATAATTGAGTGGTTGATATTCTGAGGAAATATCTGGTGGGGGATGCTTGCATCTCGCAAGATATTTTTCTTCGAGTCTAGTGTGTGGACTCGGTACTACGTGGCCCAATCACATGCTAGGTTAAGATATCTTTTCGAGCATTTTCAATTTCTTTTATGCTGGTGGGCCACTCTAAAATCCACCCCCATGATGATCATGCAACATGCTCATGCTCATGTTTATGCATCATTCTTGTCAAGGACAAAAAAAAAAAGTAATGCGAATCCATCATCAAAGGAGCAATGCTCATGTTTATTTTAATTATACTTGTTCGTCTATAATTATAAAAACAAATATTTATATTTTCAGAATTTTAAAAATAAGAAATAAATTATATATTCTAAAAAATTTAAAATCGTAATATTTTTAAAATTATTAATAAACTATATTAATTTCAAAAAATATACATAATCTTTTGAGTTAATTTATTCCACTTGAAAATACTATCCAATATTTCTATATATAATATTAAAATTCTTCTAATAGGTTGTTACATGGTAGTTTTCTTTCAAAAAAATAAGTTAATTAATTACTTGTTATTTATATTTTTATTAAAGTATTTGAATTCCATAAATAGTGATTTTAATTAACGTTGGAAAACTAATATTTAAGTTCAGTTCTTTATAAATTATATTTGAATCACAAATAAACTAGCTGAAAAAAAAATTGAATTATTTTAAATGTTGTATTTACACTTCACTTTAATTTTTAAGTCTTTTTGTTTCCTAAGAATTTTTAAGTCTATTTCGAAACATAATATTAAAATCACTTCTATTAAATTAGAATAAGTTACTCCCTCTATTTTATATTAAATGGTACTTAAGTACTTTTTTTTATTTCTCTCTAGTAATATATCATTTTAAAATATAAAAAATATAAATTTTTTGTCATAATTTATTTATTTATTTGAGATAATTTTTTGTGATTTAACTACTCTAATGTAAGTGATTTAACTAAAAAATGTAATAATTTTAATAAAATTATTTTACTTGATCATAATAAATAGTAAAATTAGCAGTTTAAATGGGAAGGATTGGGTATAAGCAGCGAATGAGTAAACGAGCATAGTGGAGAATATATGTGAGAGCAATAAGCATCTGAGGAAATTTCTAGAGAGTGGAAATTTCTAGAAGAACATAAAATAAGCAGAATCGGAAGGCACAGCATTGACAGAGTGAAAGAAGAAAGGAACTCACGATTTCACTAAAAAATAAAATAATGGAAAATAGAAAAGCGATGGCATTGTGTGACGTTAGGAGGCGTACACCTGTGAAATGAATGATTAGCTTATTTGGGCGCAGCACATCATCGTCACTTTCTCAGGGTCGGCCAATGATAGGTTATTTTAAAAGTTTGGACGGCTCGTAAAGTTACAACTCTCTTTCTCATGTTATTGTGTTTGACTTGTTCTCTGTTAACAAAGCTCAGAATTAAGGTCGTTTCTTTTACTGTCTTTTTTTAAAAAGGAAACAAAGGAATAAAAAAAATTAAAATTATTTGATATGCAGATGAATTCAAATAAGAAAAATAAATGTTAAAAAAATTATTTTCATTGGCTTGAATGGTACTAAAGAGTGTTAAAAGAAATAAATTAATTATATTAAAAATATTTATTAAGTTAAATTTTTATTTTTTTGATAAAAAACTGTTTTTAATTTTTTATAATTTTTATTTTATTTTAATATTCTAAACAAACAAATTTAAAAAAAAATAAAATTTGTGCCCCATACCTCCTCCCTCCAAACAAGGGAGATTAACATCTTTCACATTATCTTTTCCATTTTTTCCTTTTGTCATAACAATCAAACGAGGCCTTAACTCCAAGATTAGAGATCACAGGATATTTTTAAGTTTAAATAATTTAAAAGTAATTTTTATTAACAATTTTTATTATTATTAATTTGAAAAACAAATATATATATATATATATATATATATATATATATAAAAGATCAAGATAAATTTTATTTTGTTTCTTGTCAAATTTGATGCACTCGTGCACTTTGAATTTCTATCAATTGTTATAAAAAAGACTTTACTTTGGAAATGATTTTAATATAATTATATTTAAAATTTTAACATTATTTAGACATCTTTCATAAAAGCCTTTTCTAACCAACTTGCATATTGGTCATAATAAATATTTACTGAAAAAATTAATTTAATATTTTAAAACACTTTGTGCTTAGATAAATTATTTAAATTGATCATTTTTTACTGTTTGATATTTAAAGAAAAACTTGTTATTTAAGGTAAAGGATAATAATACTTTTATTTACATTTATATTTTTTTATAATATATTATAATATTACTGTTATTGACCCCGCTTTTCCAAACATAATATTTATAATTATTTCAGTGCTTTAAATTATTTTTTTATTTACAAAAATATAAACTAATTTGTCATTTATTTTGTTTGTAATTAATACTATACTATATATCCATTTGTTAACCATAATAAAAACATATACATACATACTAAAGTAATTGTACCCTATCTTAATCTTATATTTTATTTTTATAATATATTATCTTTATTATTATTTTTTATTTTACCTAGACAATAATATGGTACTTTCTTAATATTTAATTTATATTAGTGTTTATTTCATAATTATTTCAAACTTTAAACTCATATTCATCACTTTCATTATTGTTTTGTTCTCATCTCTTACTCTATTTGGCATGGTACTTCTTCATTATCTTCTTCATCAATGTTAACAACAATTTCTTTGAAAATAACATACAACTAAATGGCAGGGATTAAGGGACGACGTTATTGATGTATTTGAAACATTTATAGAATATTAGCATTGTTCATTATTAAAAATTGTATGATATTGTACAAAATTGTCAAATATAGATATTAGACACCTATAAACAATACTTTTCACTGTTTTTGGAAACTTATTCAATATTTTGAGTAAGCCAATACTTCAGTTCTCCAAATGATACATTAGCTCTCATATACACATACACACACACACATATATATATATATATATATATATATATATATATATATACATATAGGGAAAGGATTTTCTTACACCAGTATAAGTCTAAAAGCTCTTACACCCAATCTGAACATTTCATTTAACTTAAATCTAACGGTCAGTGAAGTTATAAATTATAGCCCGTTAGATTTAAGTTACATGAAAGACTCAGATTGGGTGTAAGAATTTTTATACTTACACGAGTGTAAAAAGATCTTTCTCCATATATATATATATATATATATGCATACCATTATTTTATCAGATTTTTATACTTATTTCTATAATTATTATGCATATTAATATGAGAAGGTCAC